GGTAGAGGGAGCAAACATCATTTGGTGCTGGTGCTAAATCAAAGTCAGGAGGATTTTATGGCCATATGTGAGCCATATTTCTGTCGAAGTTTATTCTATCGACATTATTAACTTCAACCATATATTAGCTTTGATCTGCTTCGATATTTTCCACTATACCATCTGGGCGCCAAATGGTAACACGTTGGTGCATTGATGATGGCACTACTCTTATGCCATGTATCCACTCTCTACCTAAGAGTAGATTATATTTGGGCTTCGCTGAACTGACCATAAACATAGTTGGTCGAAGTATTGTTCCCACCTTGAGGTCTAATTGTATCACCCCTATAATAGTTCCAATACCTCCCTCATAGTTCGATAGAACCATGTTGTTAGGTTTGATATCTTCATCCCCTTTGCCTAGTTTCCTCAACATAACTTGGGGAATTATATTTACTGTGGCCCCACAATCAACCAGAATTTTGTTGATGGTTGCTTCCCCTACTTTGCTATGATGAATAATGGTTTGAGGTGATTCTTCATCACCTCAGTGGGGCGTTCGAAGAAAGCATTCTTCTCTTCGACACATCCGTTGTTCATAATGTAATAACAAACTGACCTATGTTTGGCCATCTCCTGTTCGACCTCCCAGTCAGTCTCTTCGACTTCGACTTAGCGGTTGTATTCCCTGGGTAGTACTAACACTACATTCACCATAATATCCAAAGTAGCATCAGATTCAGAATTACCTCTATCATTTGATTCACCTTGTTCTGGCCACACCAATCTTCTAGCAATTGGTTTTCTTTCCAAAGACTTTCTTTGTTTTCCTTTTCCTTTTCTTTGTGGCACATTGGTGCTTGATTTTGGTTGAGGCTCCTTTGTAGTCTCTCTTTCGGATTTTCGTCGTCTTTGATATCTCCTCCATTGGGAGCGCGACATGGGGTTTTTTCCCTTGTAGTTGCTCGACACATGAGCCACTTTGTTTGTTGTTGTAGTTTGGAATTCCTTCCTATAGGCCAAGGATGATCCTCTTGGCACATTGAATGTTCGCCATTTCTCCTCACTGGGCCTTTTCCTGCTTGCTGTTTTCAGCCAAGTGTCCACAGGGACATTTGTTGGAGGCCTGAAAGTTGATGGCCTCTTCACCTGGTCCATTGGTCCCTTCTGATATCCTCTTCAGGGATCATATCTGACCTCAGGATCCATGTTGGGTTGGGAATTGGTGCCCCATTTCTCCTTTGCTGCCCTCACACCTTGTATGTGTTCTGCAACCTTTTTGTCGAAGATGGAGCTGCATCTTGGGCACAACATGACTTCAGACTTCTTTTTCTGGCATCGTTGCCGAAAATCTGCCAGATTCTCATTCTCTTTAGGAAGTGAATTTTTATTGCATTCCGCTTGTCTGATGGCATCTTCTGAAGCCTTCTCCTCAGATACTTCAACCATATTGACTTCTAGGTCCTCTGTCGAACCCTTGACGACAGACAAATAAGAACCTGCAATAGTCCTTTTGTTTGAGCCTTCAGTAGCTCCTTTGTTTAGGCCTTCAATAGCCTTTTGTTTAGGCCTTCAGTAGCCTTTCTCACCCCTTCGACAGTCTTTCTGGAGATGTTCCCAGTGAAACTGCCAAAAATAGGCTTATTGACGAAGTCTTCTGAAACTTCGACCATGTTGATGCCTGATGGTTCAACATAGTGGGCATCAGCTTGCAATGGGTTTGCATCGATTTTCACCGGAGGTTTGTCAGCAAACTTGAGTCTTCCTTCTTTGATCGCTCCTTGAACGAGATCCCTAAAAAGAAAATATTGTGAAGTTTTATGGCCCAAAAAATTATGATACTTACAAAAACCTCTTTTCTTTCTTTGTTCTAAAGGAGGAATTTTTGCCCCTGGGGCACTATCATTTGGCCATCTTTAACTAACAAGTCAAATATCTCGTCATATTTTGTGACATCGAAACTATATGTTTTCTTTGGGAATCTATCACTGTTCTTTTCAGACTCAGTAGGATTCTTCCCATTTGAGGGAATTAGCAATCTGCAAGAGTACGGTGGCCCTTGCTTTAATTCTGCTAAATCTATTTGGCTTTCTTCGACAGCTATAGGATCACTAGATGTCTCTGGATCGTCATCATCTATTTTGACATAGGCTACCCTTTCTCTTCTATGAGTCTTAGTTGCTTTAGCTTTTTCAGCTTTAAGACGTTCTACTTGTCGAACTCTATCGGCCAATTGGGCCATATCCCTCAGGTATTGGGTATCTAATTTTCTCCTAATAGAATAATCTAGGCCCCCTGCTGCCATTTCGAACAACTCATGCTCAGGAACTTGTGTAAAGCATCTGACTTTGAGCAGTCGAAATCTATTTAGATATTCATCTATTGGCTCAGTGAATCTCCTTTTCACACTAGCCAGTTCTTTCAGACTTATTTTGGTTTGTCCCATGTAAAATTGTTCATGGAACAATCTCTCCAATTGATTCCAATTGTGGATCGAATTGGTTGGGAGGGTGGTAAACCAAGTAAAAGCATTTTTAGTTAGGGAACTTGAGAAGTACTTAATCCTAAGGTTCTCGTTATTTGAGATTTCCCCAGCTTCTATCAAATATCTCGCCACATGTTCGACCGTAGATTTTGTTGTATCCCTGGAAAATTTGGTGAACTTTGGAACTTTCCACCTAGGGGGTAAATTTGTTTGCAAGATATACTCTGACAATAGGGATGTAAAGTTTGGCCTATGAAAGCCAATGTTCATTCCATTCTGTATCATGATTCTTTCGATCATGGCTGTCAGATTATTACATGTTCCATAATTATGGTGTCGAACCTGCTGTATCACTTCATCAGCATTTTGGTTTCTATATACCACAATTACACCTTGATCGACATCTTTAGGGATCTGTGGGGGAACTCTGAATATTTCGACCCTAGGTTGTTCGATCTCCATTCTATGGTTCATTCCAACTGGCTGTAGATTTTGGTTAATAGTCATATCTTCCTCTAAGACTATACCCTGATTCCCTCTTATTGGCGCTCTTTGGGGTTGTCTAATAGGTTGGAGAACCCCAAAAAATTCAGCCATGCGCGTCATTTGAGTTGTCATTTGCTTATTCGACTGGGTGGTATTTTGTATTAGAGGGTTCAACATTGTACTCAAAGTTTGTGCCAACATTTATACCATATCATGGTTACTTTCGTCCATTCGTTGCCTCAAAATTGCCGTAGAAGCATTTGTGAAGCTTGGTATTGCATGGGATGCCCCTCCTAAGAGTTGGTTTCTACCCAAATTCACCATACCGGTTCCAGATCTCTGTAATGGCGAAGACGCACTAACCAAAGGTTCTGAAAATGTGGACGCATCGTTCATAAGACTAGCCATTTCAGTAGTTGGCATGCCATAAGGCTGGTCTCGACCCATCCAGGTTGTCGAAAATCATGAGGGAACATAGGGTCGAGATCTTGGATTTACCCTTGGTGGGGGTGTTCCTAATGGACCTCTGGGACCTACATACGGAAAGTATTGGTCCCGTTTGTGTTACTGTCAACGTTGGTGCCGAACCAATGGATGATGGGATAGTTTCACTAACGGTTGGTATAACAGTTGTTTCCGCAGTAATTGATGGAGGTATTTCTCCATTATTTGGCTGATTAGCCATTTCACTATTTCTTCTCCTAGTTGTAGACTCGTTGGTGGTTAATTTACCACTTCTTAATAACATACAACACTTTGTAAAAGAAATTATGTAAAGCATTTATGTTAATATAAACAAGTAAACAAAAATTAGCAAGGTCCCACCAGGTGTGCCAATTTGTTTACCGTGAAAATTGATAAACAACCGATGATCTTCCAAAAAGGGTAATTTTTGGTTACTTGCATGATCAATCAGTTTGATCCTAGGACATATGCTAAATATTTGTGTTGTTTTGATAAAAATGCTAATTTTAATAAAGAACACATTCGATTGAGAAAGGTAGAGGTTTGAGATAAGTTTAAGTGTAGAAATCTGGTAAAAAGTGCAAGTAAAATGCAAGGGAAAATAAACTTTGCAAGTAAGATAAAAGGTTGTAAGCAAGAATGGCAAGGAATGTAAAAAGGAATGCAAAAGACTTTGATTATAAAATGTAGTGTTTCAAACGTACATTCTCAGTATTCTTTCTCACGCAGCGGGTACTCGAATAATATTGAGTGACTTGTACAATCAGTTGAACACACGGAAATCTATATAAAATCCCTATATTTATATTAGAACTATGTAACCGTCAAGGAGTTGTCTTGCTCTAAGATGAGGACAAGTGTCCTCTGCATATGCACTTCGACTTATGTCCTTATGCCACGTTGCTTTCTTCAACTTCCAGGTGAACTACTTTTCCCTCCTTTCAGATTCAAAATCACTTGTTGCTGATACGAAGTTTCCTGGTCGAAAGGCTTCATGGTCGAACACCCCTTTTAACTTAGAAAATTTATCTAAATATTTTTTTCCTCTTCTTAGCATAGCTTCGACACAACTAACATCACGAGCTCTTCTGTCGAACGTCTTTAACTTTAGATTTCTTCAACTTATTCTTGACCAATAGGACCAACATGTGTAGGTGTCGAATTCAGGAGCTAACAATAGGGCACTATGAAAGGATGAAAATCGTACCTTAAAGGCACAACAATATCATTCCAAACATGCACAATACAACCTTCAAGTTCAAGACCTGGAATAAAAAAGAAGCACACTTGGTAATATGTAATATCAACTAAGGAAGCAAAATATATACATGTGTTAAAAGAGAATATATACATGCTATTAGTTGGAACTCACCCATTGCTTGAAGCAATTTAGTGCTTCGGCTAAAACACCAAATTTGAAATACCTACCTCACTGTTAACACATATACTAGTAGAAATATCCACCTTACTTCAAACTAGATCACAAATTCACATATTGCAAACAATTTCCAGCGATAGGTATTTTTCTTCTCGTAATCTTATGTTTTTTCAATTGTTTATCGGTGCTAAAGTTACATCCATCTTATCTTTGATCACAGCTAACAAAAAATGAACCATCTCCCAAGTTTTCTATTTGGCTATGAATAACAACATGGTACTCCAAAATAGAATCAGTATAAGGTGTAGCCACGATTACATCATCCTTGTCTCTTAGCAATGATCCAACATTGGCAGCAATTCTTCTTTCCTGAAATATAAGTCATTCGATGGAAAAGAGGTTGAAACATTAACATTAAAATCAAGTGTTTAATCAATCTAAAGAAAATCTTTAAGTTAATTCATCCTGACAGAAACCAAACAACAAACAAAACCAAGATTAAAGATTGTGTATTAGAAAAGGAGAAACATGAAAAATCTAGGTACATGTCTCCCATTGATTCTCTCAAGCGTTTTATCAAACATCTTTCGTGCATTCTTCAAGTTATCACATTTTATGTAAGCTCTAGCTGCTCTTGAAGGATCTAAAACATAACATCACCAAAACATGTTATAAGTTTTCAAAATTTGCCCAAAAAGTCAATCTATTTAGCATCTAAGAATGAAACAAAAGAAGAATCCATATACCTACCTTCAAAGATTCCGATGAAGACTTCAACTTCGGTACGGTCTCAGGTAATTTCCTCTTTCCGATGGTGAATCAATGAATCGGTGGTGAAGAGTATGTGAGTTCTGGGCCGACGAATGGAGAAGAATGTGTGAGTAGATTCGACGGTGTGAGTGGGTTCGACGGAGAAGTATTAGACAGAGAAGAGTCTTCGCGTGAGTGTTTTCGTTTTACCGATACTTCACCTTTTTTAGAAATACCCATGCTTTAGAGACTATGAATAACAAGTTTAGTTGGCATTACCATCTAAAATATATTTCGAGGTTACATACCCCAATGTTCCTGAAAGTTTCAAATTCTTCTTTTGGGACCAATCAATTATGGCAAGACTGAAATCAGAGACCTGAATCCACCACCAATAGATAAGAAACTCTGCTTAATTAAATAAATTGTGAAAAAAAATTAATTAATTTTTTACCTTGGCATTGAAATTTGCATCTAAAAGTATATCGGAAGATTTGATATCTCTATGAATCAAGAAGGGTGTTGCGACTGGTTTTTAAATCAAGAGTCGTCACTATTAGTTTTTATCTTAGAGAAGGGAATCTAATAGAAAATCTTAATTCACAGACAGAGATTCTAGGTTTCGGACTTCTTTAGACGAAAGGAAGGTGTTATGCACCTTTCATCTACCTTGTTCACAAGGATATTAGGTTTTAGGTTTAAGTTCGGGTAGAAAAGGGTTTTAAATTTTAATTAGGAGGAAGGGTTTAATTTTTTTATAAGGGAACTCGCTAAGATTTTTGATCGTATGCCTACGTATCCTCTTAAGAGGAATAAGAGTCTCAATTCGTAGTTTGTATGGGGTTGGTGTTTTTTAGGGGTCGCAAACGTATTTTGAATCACCTTGCATTTTGGTCAGGAGTAGTGATTGCGGAGTTTTGACTAAATGCGCGGTAAGTCAAAATCTGTTTGAAACCCTTTTGCAAAAACAGTTGATTAGATTATTTGATTGCGAAAAATAGTTTGATGATTTGTTGCGTATTTTTTAATCATATTAATTGCAAAATATCTTATTAATGCATGATAAAAATATTTTAATGCAAATAATATAAGAAAATAGTATATGTACATGAGTTTTAAAAATAATTTATTTATGATAATATAAATAATATCTATATGTAATAAATAATAATGATATATAAAATATATTACTAATAATAATTAATATGATTATAAAAATTAATATTAAGAAGAATTATAATTAATAACAATAATAACTATAAATGATAATAATATAGTATAATAATAATAAAATATAATTAAAATATATATAATATATAATGTAAAAGAAATAATTAAATTAAAATCAAGGGGGTGTAATTCTAGTTATGCAGTAAAAGCTGGAGGTGTCTAAACTCAGAACATGGGAGGGGGGGTTGTTTTGTAGCTTTAGTAATTTAGGAATGGGGGCTTAGAAACGAATTGGGTCTGGCCCATCACACAGTCTTTTGAAGGCCAGCAAGATTGAGTGCGCGAGGGAGTATGTTAGTTATCATGCAGACTTGGCCTCTGGCCATCTGATGAAGATCACGCGGACATAACCTGAAGGACCATAGCATTATAATAGACGCGCGCGTATTGGATGACAACAGAACATAAATTTTGTTTTTTCATTCTCATTATTTCGTTTTTACAGCCTATATTCCTCTCTCTCTCTCTCTCTCTCTCTCTCTCTATTGCCTTACCCTAACTTTCTTCTTCCTAACCCTAACAAAATCGCGACGGCGGCTTAACTATCATCAAACCCAATCTCTTCATCATAACCCCTAATTAAACCCCAAACAAAAATAAGAATTATCAATAAATGAAATCTAATCTCCTTTACCCTTTTCGCGATTCCAGCTTCTGAGTTTTTTTGCCTGATTCGCTTTTGTTCTGATCTTCTTCTCTTTTTACGATTCACAGGTTTCGGTGGTGGCCGACGGTGGTGAGGCGCGGCAGCAAGGAAGATTGATCAGCGGCAGTGTGGCTATGTGATTAGGGTTTCAGATATTGAAACCCTAATCACCCTTCCGTCTGGTCTTCAACCACAGAGGTTTCGACACTTCGTTCTTTTTTTTGCGTTCTTCTTCACAATTCGCGGTTCTGTACTCCGTCTCTCTATTCTCCCTTTTTTCTATTCAAGTTTCTGTATTTATAGGGTCGATTGCTGTTACAAATTGTTTATCTTAGATTTAGGGTTTTTAGATCAATTAGGGATTGTTATTTATTTGATTTTATTGTAATTGATTCTAAGAGATTGAGATTTACTGATTTGTAGAGATTTCGTTCTTCATAAAAATTTGGACTGTAAATTATTTATTGTAATTTTCAGATTTGATTTTAGTGATTTAATTTGGTTTGTAATATAAATTATGGATTTGGTTATAGAAAGATTGGATTGAATTATGATTTTCCATATTTGATATGTTTGTAATTTCTACAATGCTTGTTAGTACCGTAATCTTCGCTAAATCTCTACGGTGGTTGTTCGCACACTTTTGGGCCTTGCGTTATATATTTTTTATTTACTGCCCAACATTTTTCTTTTACAGCAAAGTCAATCTTTTAAATATATGTTTTAATTACAGCAACAAAGTTTTTTTTTTAATTGGGCTTGATCATAACAATACATTTTTTAATTATAGCAAAAAAAGCTTCTTTTTTTCAATTGGGCCAGAATGGCCTTTCCGTAACCCAATATTACTTAAACCAAACTTTTGATAAATAAAATTAACATAATGCTTAATAATAATAGTGAAATATTATAAATAAAAAGCTAACAGTAATATATTCTTTTTATTAAAATAAAAACAATAGTTTTAAAAATTTCTGAAAACAACAAAATAGCAAATGGGCTGTTAGAAACTATTTAATGGGCCAGTAATCTATAATCATACCTCACCCTTTGCTATTTGGGCAACGCAAACGGAAATGGACCAGCTAAAATAGACTAGTATATTGCAATCTCACCTCTCTTTTTTTTACTAACATCAATAACCTCCAAAGGGCCTTAATAAATTTAATAACAATTTAAACTTAATTTGGCTTTGAGAATTAAGGACTTAATAGTTATTTGAGTAATTTTTTATTTTCGAATTGCATGGGCCATTGGTCAACATGCTTCGCGGATGGGCTTACGGATACATGGGTCCTTCCGATTTTTAGAAAGCCCCATTTTTCGTGAATATAAGTACACTCTTCTCGTTGATTTGAATTCTTCTTAAAAGTGGGCCAACATATATTGTTGTACCATCTTTAATTAAATATTTCTTCTATTTGAATGTCGAAAACTAAAATCGAGGTAGGACAAATTTGGGATACGACAGCTGCCCCTATTCAATCATCTTCCAATCAAATAGCATGAGAAAAAGCGAGTCTTACGCATTCTGATTGGGAGTTTATTGAATACTTGGAATACCCCAAAATTTGTCCGACAAACATAAGGTTACACTGATATAGCATACCCTTACGAGTCTCAAGGAAGTAGGCAAAGCTGATGATGTATCACTTACCAGGGTTTAATGACGAGGTAGATAGTTTTGAGCTTTGAGAGTGATCTCGTGTGTCTTGGCTTTGCTTTTGGTTATTCACCCATTTGGAGGATGAATAAAACAAAAATTGGTGATGCATGGCTGCTTGGAGACTGAGGCCATGGGTTAGATGAGGAGAGCACATTGAGGTTTAGAGGCAATGCGCTGAGTTTTGTGAATACGTTGCGGCTTAGAGGCAATGTGCTGAGTTTGCGAATAGATTGCGGCTTAGAGGCAATGTATTGTGTTTGCGAATGCATTACGGCTTAGAGGTAATGTACTGAGTTTGAGAATACATTGCGGCTTAGAGGCAATGTACTGTGTTTGTGAATACATTGCAGCTTAGAGGCAATGTACTGAGTTTGTGAATGCATTGCAGATTAGAGGCAATGTACTGAGGTTGCGAATACATTGTGGCTTAGAGGAAATGTACTGAGATTTGTGAATACATTTCGGCTTAGAGGCAATGTACTGAGTTTTGAGAATACATTGCGGCTTAGAGGCAATGTATTGAGTTTTGAAAATACATTTCGGCTTAGAGGCATTGTACTAAGTTTTGAGAATACATTGCGGCTTAGAGGCAATGTACTTAGATTTGTGAGTACATTGTGGTTTAGAGGAAATGTACTGAGATTTGTGAATACATTGCGGTTTAGAGGTAATGTACTGAGATTTGTGAATACATTGCGGCTTAGAGGCAATGTAATGATTTTTGAGAATACATTGCAGCTTAGAGGCAATGTATTGTGTTTTGAAAATACATTGCGGCTTAGAGGCAATGTACTGAGTTTTGAGAATACATTGCGGCTTAGAGGCAATGTACTGAGATTTATGAATACATTGCGACTTAGAGGCAATGTACTGAGATTTGTGAATACATTGCGGCTTAGAGGCAATGTACTGAGTTTTGAGAATACATTGCAGCTAAGAGGCAATGTATTGAGTTTCGTTCATTTCTGCATGGAGACTTAGGTAATGGATTACGTTGAAGGAACTCATCACTGCATAGAGACTTAGGTGACGGGTTGAATCGCAGGAGAAGTATTTTGTTGATTGACCCTTAGATGATTGCCTCGAGGGTAAGATTGTTTGTTTTTTATTTGATACAGGCCTATGACGTTTGTTACCGGGATGGAACCCTGAGTGTATATGTATTGAATTATATGTATGTATGCAATGTGTTTGATGTTTGATATGGATATGCCAGACGTATGTATGCAATGTGTGTAGAATGCATGTATGCTTTGAAATGCTATGAAGACTATTTTTTTCATTCTCCCCTTTAAGTCATTGGCGTTAAATTACCAATTTTGTGGCGTTGTATGTTGTATAGTCGTAGCATTGTTGAATTTGATTTGAATGTGGACATATGTATATAATTTTTGTTGTTAACGTAGGAGTAGGCATGTGCGTGGACGCAGATGTGGATTTTCTTTCGATATTTTTCTAACCAAAATGCTTTTCAATGTTTTGTCGAATGCTTTTATTTTGTTAGTTTCCCCAAAATGATTTCAAGACAATATTCATAAGTAGTAATTATAGTATTTTGTAAACAAGTCTGAGAAAAGAAAAACACAATTTGAAAGATGTAAAGAAAGCAAATGTTTTATTGATATGCCTCTGAGTAGGCAAGAATACAAGATGTAATTCCTAGAAAGAGGTAATTACAGGAAGATTTTAAAACTGTAA